TAAAGGTTTAGTGCAATAATGGTGCCATCTAACACTATTGCCACTTCTTTGATGTATAAGCTAGTCCAGTTAAACTGCTTTAACTTTCTTCACTCAGTACTACTAATTTAACTTCCATTAAAGCAAAGTATCCTTCCTCTTCCTCCAGCCCAAGATAGGTACAGCTTACTTACAACTGTGTGCTATGCTAAGTGATGGGTTAACAGGTGAAATCACAATGCTGCCAGTCTAGTTGTGATTGGAAATATATCAGCCACAGTTGCAGCAGCAACTTTGGGGCTTGTTTTTCCAACAGATTTAAGCTGGAATTTTCAGAAAATGAGGCCAGGTCACCCTGCTTTTCATGAGCTTAATCAACCTCACTATGTCCATTCCTGGAATAGCTGAAGCTGTCTGATTTACATGCAGCCAAGCTTGGAATGTGCCCACTGACTGGCAGGTTCAAGTACATTTTCGGTCAAAAGGGAAAGATCTATTACATTGAGGAAACGGTTATATTTTCTTCTGTCTACCTAGATTTACTTGTAATGCTTTATTCTGTGTACCTAGTTGCAGCCATGCATAAGGTTTGCGTTTTCTAGTTATAATTATAACAAATCATGTTGGAACTTTTAACGAGACACATAGAAAGGCATTCTTTGTTACAGTTCACTGAATTAACCCATCTCATTCGTGAATCATTAATGATACTGACTGCTGGGTAAATTTACTTTGGTTGTAAATCTATAAATGGCATGGGAAGATGTGCTAGAATGATTTTTCATACTTAGCTTTTAAATGAGAATATTATAGTTTCAAGGAAGGTAGAGAAAAGATACACAGCAACCTTAAAAAGTTAACAGTTTTCAATCTGTAAGATTAATTCTACCATTCTGTTTCTTGTGGTTGTATATTGCAGCGAGTGAGTATATACAGACATACAGAAGTTGTCCACTTTAAGACTGTCCATTATGGGAGAGACTTTTTAAAACTGCTTCTTGAGGGAGCTTATTTACAGTGGACAACAGACACAGTTTAAAAATCAGGTAATTCAAAACACATGTGATGTTATTTGGAGTTATAAAGTGATCCAAGGTAGGAAACAGCAAGTCTGAATATGAAGAAGCATTTTCCTGAGAATCACAGCTGAGGAAAATGGACAGTTGTGTTTTCATTTAGACATTCTCACTCTTAACTTCAAATACAAGGTGTCATGTAATTAGTATAATTAGGATATACGAATAGATTAATATTCAGAATGGAATAATTATGTTTATTATTTTCTTCTCTTATTGAAGGACATAGGTATATATCAAGCTTTATTGAAATATTTTCCATTAGGACAGAGCTGGTATAAATTCAGGAATACATTGTGGCTTTAGCACAGCTGCATGGGGGAATTCCTCTAACTAAATACCTGCAAAAATTTTCATCTTGTGAGACTTTCTTAGGTTTCAAAATTTTTTCCCCCTAAAATAGGAAACCCCAAACACAAACACTTTATCAAGGAAAAATTCAGACAACCTTCATGCAGAAATTATGTTCTTCAGGGGAATATACCTGTCACATAACTTTTTTACTCCATTTCACAGTTTTGCTATAGGATAGTTTGCTGGACATCATGAAAAAGTGTTATACCTCAGGCACACAAAAAGAGCACATGGCTTTGAAGTATTTTGAACCATGTTACTCTCCATTGCATAGGGAACTTGTAGACTTCTCATTTGAAGGGCTCTCTCTCTCCATCAAAAAAGAAGAACTGAATTCTGAAACACTTCAATTCAGCAACTCTCAGTTCTTTATGGTTGCTTGCAGGATTCACTAACAATATTTGCTAAACCATGGTGCAAGTTTCCTACAGCAACTAAGATGCAGTGCAAATAAGATCACACTGGGCAAAGTTTATTTTTAGTAAAGCTCTACAAAGCTCACATGTACACCTGTCAGTGATTGTGGCCTTAACAGTTTTTATCTGCTCATGGTTGACCCAGAGCCAGCCATGCTAATTTCACAGTAAAATCAGCTAGGACCATTATTTTCAAAGGTCTGTTTGCAATGCTAACACAGCATTCCTCTGAGCTTAGTTAATTTATTAATTTGTGTTTTTTCCTTAGATTTCTAGTCCAATTTATGCATATGGGAGAAGGTAACCTCTTATTTCCTAAGCATGTTGGATTCTTAGGATGTGTTTTGGACAATATGGACATAAACATGCATCAACTTCTGTCTCTATCTTTTGTTTGTATTTTGTCTAATGCACAGTTTAAAAAAATGTTCTTTTTCATACATTAAATACTCTGAAATAGTGTGTTTGAGTATGTTAGAAACAATAATCAGACAAAAAAGCAAAATGCCTTTATATGTTTTACTGTTGAACCACACGAACAAAGAAACCAATTAAAAATCAAAAATTATCACAACACAAAAATGTAATTAAATTTTCTTCTTTTATTTGTGTCTCCACCCAGGGTGTAAACACCCACTGAAGCATTCATTTATCTGTATCTCTGTCTCTAGCCTCACTATAACAATAATTAAATCCAGACTTAAAAATCTAACCCAAGAGTTTTTTAGAAGAAATCTCTGAGGGTTTTTTTTCCCCGTTTCTGTTTCTAATTATATGAACGATGCAAACACTAGTAGTTTTATGGTGAAGGACAATGACTGGAGCAGTCTTCTTTAAAGGTATCTCTCAACAAGATATTCTGCAGGTAATATAACAGAGTTACAGTTTTCAGGTTTTATTTTGTACCATCCACATACACATTTCACTTTACTTTTTACATAAAACAGAACTTTATCAAACAGGACAAAAATAACTTATGATTGTATGAAAAGTAACTGTAAAAAAATCATAAAATTATACATACTAGCAGAGCAAAAAGTGTAACTAATTCTTTTGATTTTTTTTTTTCATGACATGCAACAGGTATTTCTTTAGAGCAACTATCAGCCAGATATGCAGTATGGCAAATTAAGATCATATGTGTATATGTAAGTGTGTATAAATATGTAGATTACTTTGTAAGGTTTAGGAAAAACATAATCCCACTTTCTCTCCTTACCAAAGTGCTTTGTGTAAAAAATATTACACAAGATGCTGCTTTCTGTACAGAATAAAAGGAATTTTTTTTTCTTAAATACAAGCCCCCTCAGCTAATTTTAAATGGTAATTTTTGTTTGCTTTACCTGCTTCTAGAAAATATATATTAGAAAAACCCAAACCAACAAAACAAACTAACAACAAAATTCCATACAAAGAACAAAAAAGTGCTGTTTAAAAAAGTCTGCTATAAAATTACACAAGGAAAACAGGGAATAAACAGTTAAAATATAATTTTTATACTCATTCACACCTCTTCAAAGAAAGCTGAAAACAAAATACAATGTGACAGATTGACAGATGGTTTTAGCACTGCAATACTTCAGCACCTGGTATTATTAAACCATAATGCTTATATGCTTGTGTGTATATATACATAGAAAGGGAGATCCAAATAAACACATACACTCATACACTCCCACATGTACATATGCACTTTCAAACTGTATTTTAAACTCCAGTGTAGATCCATTTCTAATGCAGATATAAATAGATCATTGAGTCTGAAAACAAGTGAATTGTATAAAAGGATGATTGTAAATAATTTCATGCTAATATTATTTCATGTCCATTGTCTAAAACAACTTCATCTTCTAGATACGAATCCCTTTAGAAAGTTAACAATCCAGCAATTAGAATAACAACATAAAAATCACTAAGGCACAAGTATTTGAAGATAACTCAGTAACTGGCATTACTTTATGTATTTTCCCAAGCACCTTTTTCATTGTAACATGTGACAAACACAATTCCCTAATTAAATATCTAAAATACTTGAGATAAAATCAGTGATTAAGTTGATGCCCTGAAGTCAGTCTGGTTTCAAAGAGAATAATGAAATAATTGTGACGAATTCTCTCTGTCTCTGAAAGAGAAGTAAACATAGGCATACCTTTTTACAGACTGGTAGCCCACTCTCATGTGCTTGATGTAACTATAACTCCTTCTTTTTAGGATTAAGGCTCATGGAAAGCTGTGAATATATATATATTATATATGTGCGAAATAATGAATTAACAACTTGCAGAAGTTTCCTTTTTTAAATGTAACTGATGAAGCCCCAAATTATGAATGCCCTTTTTGAATTCTGTACCCCCACTTTTCCTTTGGTCAGGAAGTTTCAAAATGTAAAATCCCCCACTCTACTGAACAGCTTGTACATTCAGATACTAGAAAAATATTTCAAAAGGTTTAAAAGTCAGGGTATTACAGATCTGAAGACAGCAACAATATTTCAGTTTTGTGCACAGCAATGGACAAATTCTGAACAACCACATGGTTAAAAGAACCTTGAAGGATTTGTATGTACAAAATATGTATGTACACATGTATGTACACACATACGTCCACAATGAGCCTGATTCTGCTCTTGCTGACTTTGGTGGAACAAAACACAGTCCCACACATTTGAAATTGAAGTGTTCATTGTGACTAATTATTCCTGCTGAATCAACTTATGCTTGTGCAGTGAATGCATAATGGGCTTTAAGATAGCACAAAATTAAAGCTTAATTAAAAAGTGAAACTTGTGGTCAATGCACTGGGCCAGATCATACGCTAATGCCAAAGGACTGTGTGTCCTTTGTAAGGGATGCCTGATGTCATTTAACTGAATGCAAACTGCATATTATAACATGTGGACCTAGTATTGCAAGCTGGAGCAGGGGGACACCTTCACCTGTGATGTGAGAAGCAGAATAAAAGGGGGAAGAACTCAGCACAGAGTTATCTGTATTTTAGTCACACTACTTCTTATTGTAGTTCATTTATGTGCATGGTTTATCCATATACTCTACACATTAATTGGACAAAAATCTCTCCATTAAACATTTAAGCACATACGCCTGCACATAAGAATATATTTAATGAATAAAAACCTCAAAAGATTGCCAGTGTTTATAAACATCTGGACATAAATTCACCTATTCAACATAATAGCAAATTATGAATCTGAGCCAAATGCACTGAAAAACTCAAAAAATTTTTGCATAAAAAAAAGAGTTTGTATAAACATTTTTTTAATGTTCATCTTTCCAGAAGAGTGATTTCAGAAGCATAGTTGCGGACTAGCCTGTAAGAACAAACTGAATTTCTGTCCTTACTGTATCAGGTCATGAGAATGTTAAGATGCACACTACACAGTTAAGAAGTCTACAAAATAGATGAACAGGAATTAATCACGTAAATACTCAGTTCTGCATAATGTAAGAGTTGTTTCCAAGGTACACAGGATCACAGTGATGGCATGTCTTCACTGCAAAATACTGGATTTAACTCATAATCTTGGTACCTTTCATGAAGGGCAACACATTTGCTTTCATCCTGGACTAAATTCAAGGACTAGAGCCTGACACTGAGTAGGAAAATCAAAACCACCAAACCAGTTCAGCTTTACCTCTAAGTAAGCACAGGGAACACAGCACACCTAAGAGCAGTTCTTTCTGAAAATGTGTTATAGAAAATATTAGGGCAATAAAAATTTAATTGAATCAATACAAATTGTTTTTTAAAAAAATCTGTAGAATTTAAGGAAGAATCTTTCCTACGCAGTGTTTTAAACCTCCCTACAGAATACTATAGCATGTACAGCAATAAAGCTCTACAATATAATTAAAAGGCAACAGAAAGTTAAAATGTACTTATTCTTATCTGGCATCTGTGCTAAATAGAGACAAAGTCTATGTAAATTCTCGTGTGTTGAACCCTTCTTATTCATGCTTAAAGCATTGGGTTGGAATGAATATTGGAAAAACAGCAACAGCCATATTGTATGGCTTAAAATACAGAGGGAAGGAAGAGACACATAACTCGAGGCCTGTAAGAAATCCAGTACCAATGATCTTTGACTCCAAAAAGAAGCCACATCACCACGTCCAATGGGGAGTGCAAACTTATATGTCTAATTTCTCTCCCTTCTGGATACTGGTGTGTGTTTACCTTCGGAAGCATCACATGCAAACAGGTTGTGCAAAAAGCTGTATGCCTTTGAAATGGTTTGTAGTATGCTCTAGTTTTACTTCTTTTCCTCTTTTGAAAAACGTATTTTCTAAAGCTTTGTTCTTCAGTAAGTGCACCCATTCAGCTTGAAAGGATTGCAGCTAACAAGCAGTTTTCTTATTTGGTCTCTGAATTCCCTTTGAGAAATTGCAAAGAAGAAATAATAAAAAAATAGAGTTGCTGTGCCACAGATGAGAAGAAAAGAAACAATTGCTAAGGTTTTGGCAAAGCTTGCTTTCTCCAAACATTCCCCTTCTCAGTTGGAGCTTGATTAAATGAAGAATTCTCAGTGATTGCTTTTTTCCTCTCCATTATGTATGTATATCCAGTCATATCCCCATACATACGTGGCAGTTTCACGGAGAGAAACATTTTGTGGAGAAATACAAGAAGGGCAAGTTGAAATGGAATGAAGTTCTTGTAACTAGATTTATATTACTTTAGCCTTCAGTGTACACGGAAGAAAGCTGGCTAGAACGACGATCCACTGCATTTACTTGTAGAAAACTGCTGTCCTCTGGCGTGCTGCAAGCTGAATCACCAAAGATACCTATGGACCCTGCTGGAAAGTCATACACTAGGGAAAAAACCCAAAAACCAGTTAATTAACTAGGATAGCTATATCATGGAATATGTCCTAATACTTATACATAGAGCTGGAAATGGTTTTAAATCAAATACACAAACAAAACAAACAAGCCAACATACATTTGAAATTAATTACATAACTTACTGCTTACCAAGGGAGGAATTTTCAGTTCTGTCAGAATCGAGTCTGATGTACAGTAGATTTCATCACAACTAACACTTCTCCATATAATGGGTGTTAAAATTGTGATAATTTTAAAAATAAACTTCATGCTTACTTAACAAATTTCATCATACTGAACTCATGATAAAAGACAATAAAATATTGTAGAACAAACTGCTGTAAAGCAGACCCTGGCACAGAAATTACTACCTTCTACAAGCAGTGGTAGTAAACACGAGAGTAACTGTTTGCATAAAAACTGCCACCTTTTGGATAACAGGTTTACATACTGTGAGATGCCTCTTTGAAATTACAGGTGCATTGGCTTTGCAATGCACTACTGAAGGACCAAGGATTAAAAGGGATTTCAAAGAACAATAAATGTTAAGTGAATTCATCCTGTGTGGAAGGACAGTAAAAGACTTGGTGCTTAGTTGTGCTTAGGCCTTAAGATTAGGTTCACTGTCTTGTACTGATCCTTGCACAGAGGGAACTTTCTCCTTTCCAGAGCAGCATACAAGCCTCTGAGGTGTTTTGCATCTGGGCAGAGACTAAGTTAAGTGCACACAGAAAGCGCACACCCAGGCAGTTCTTGTCATGGAAATGTGAAAAAATTAAATTCAAGACTGATAAAACCCAAACATACACAAAAGCAAAATCAGTGGTTTGAATCATCTCAGGTCCCTGCCACAACACATGCAGTGAAGTGGAGTGGCTGCAGAAATATCACACAGGGCTCAATGGACTGCATTTCAAAGCAAATACACAAGCTAGAGAGTGTTTGACCCCCACAGGTTAGAACCTTGAGAAGCCCTCAACAGAGTACAGTTTATACACAAGCCAATTGTTGCTGTCACCCATGGTGACTGCCTGCCTCCCCATGCCAACCACTCCACAAAGGTCTGAAAACCATCTCCTCTTTTTGAGTCAAAGAGTCAAGTCTGTCATGAGACATCCCAGGCACATCCACTCACATAGCTCAAGCAGCTCAACGTTCACAAACTGTACACAGTCATCCACGAAGTCACCAGCTGTCATTTACCTGTGATACCAGAATGACCTGAAAAAGTTCGATGGAAAAGGCCAAGCCCTGCCTGGCCCGCTGATGTGGGAGCTAAGCAGTCTTCAAAAGGAGGAACCATATTGCAAGAAACACCATGTTGTACATTCTTCTGAGCATCAGCATGATGTGGAGGGCAGAAAGTCTGAAGTTGCCCATATAAACCTAGAACAAGGAGAAAAAGGCCATCAGTAAAAGACCTGGACAGAGATCCAAAGGATAGTATTTGGAACTGCAGCTGAGAGACTGATAAAAACCTCAACTGCCATAATACCAGGTCTTCAATAATTTTACACAAATAAAGTAGTGTTGATATGAAGCTCCCTAAAACTTCCTCCATTTGCTACCAATTTCAAACACAATCTGCTTCATCTTCTGATATCCTGATTCCAAGCATGACTTGTGAGAGGCACTGACTGTCTAGAAGTTGAAATTTTTCAGGAAATTTCTCCCTGTACTCTGCAATCCTGCTGTCTGAACTGGTTCTCTCCAGAGACCACAGTGGGCATCTGCCTGAAAAATCTAAGAAAATGCTTAATTCAAAATAAAGGAAGATTACCCAAGAAAAGTCTGAGTAACACTTGAGAGTCTGTCACCGATACCAAGACAACTGGCTGACAGTGGGGACATACACAGAGACTCTGAAGGGCTGCTAGATGATGACGGGGCCTGCTTTTTGCATGTACAGGGTGAGAGCCTAACGCACTCATCGGCAGCAATAAGTCCCCAGGGAAGAGAACCAAGACCACTGTGTCACATGGCAGAAAAATCCCCACTAGGGTTTTCTTTCTAAAAGGTTTTTGTTCCTGAAGTGATATTTCAGAGAGGCATATAAGCACTGAGCAAATTCACACTGAAGTCCATGCCAAAGTATGTATTTATATAACAAAAATCACTCTTCTTTGTAGGAGAGGGACACATATGCAGTCTAAGGAGGCACAGACAGATACTCTGCGGTAGGTTGGTCAAAAGATTTTCTCATGGAAGCAAGGTCTTTTCTCCTGCCTAAAGAACTGCTGTCTAAGCTTGGAGATCTTGTTCAGTCTGAAAGAAGGCTTTTATATGTAGAAGATCATTGGGATGCATTTATTTCTGTTTTCTATACTATGGTCTTAAGAGTAAATGTCAGAAGTAAAACCACAAATCAGTATTAGGATATCTGTATTCTTTTCTTTTAAGAAAAACTGTGAATCAAGCTCCTCTCTCCCAGTGCTGTGTCTCCTTGTTCTCACCACTCTCTTTCTCTGCATAAAGGAAAAACACAGATGGTAACACCATCAAGGTGTTACATAGAAGTTGTAGGCCTTGACAGTCCAAAAATAGGCCCAGGAACAATAGACTCTCTGAAGATTTTATTAGCAAACAACTTACTGCCTAAAGGCTGGTGTGCTATTCTCTTGATAAAGAATATGTTGAGGTAAGTCATACCTAAAAGCCACTGTCAGAAAAACAACCCCCTAACTCTGAAAGCATTTTAAGGAATTTCCTATGACATTACTGTCATCAGAAAAAGCTGTTGTGTACGGCTGTATCCTCTAGCCAGTCTATTTAATCAATATCCATATTACCAAGTCATTCCAGATGAATTTCCTTCTGGCATAGAAAGATCAATAAGATGAAATAGCAATAAAACATTCCCTAAACCCATCAACATCAGGGGAAAAAGAAGGAAAAGGGGGGAAAAGAAAACACTTTTTAATGCATTTTTTATATAAAAGAAAAAAGAGAAGAGAGGAGAGAGGAGAGAGAGGAGAGAAGCCCAAAGAAAAATAAAAAGTAGAAGCATGGCTCCTCTTGCACAGCAGGCAAAATATCTCTCTTTGTGTGAGACTCTGTGCTCACTCCCAGAGAGGCTGAACACTCACAGATTTCATTGTCTTTTGCAAGAGTTGCCCTAGCTGTGAGATGATGGTTTCAATCCATTTTTTTTTTCTTTTAAAGTTTAACCACAGCAAAACTGAGTCAGACTGTTGGGAATTTACAAGCCATCAATCCTTAAATATTCAGTCTTGATATTTAAGAATCAACTGTAGTAAAACAATAGAAAATTAAAGAAAAAACAATAGCCATCCAAAACTTAATTTTGAAGCTACATTAGCTACATGAAGCTATTGACAGGTTTTGCCTTCTTTAAATATGTTTTCAAAATAAACTTTTTTTCTCAACCAGCAATAAGACACAATGTGCAAGTTTATTGTTGAGTCAGACTAGTTACCAGAAACAACCATTTCAATTTATATGTGAGTGGTCTGAACTAGCTGGCAAGGTCCTTCAAGACACATGCTGAAGTGTCCTTTCACATTACTCTGTGCTCATTCTCTATTTATGCCTCTCACAGCATCCTGTTATCAGTGTAGAACAATATGCCAGTAACTTTGACTACTGCAAGGTCAAATCTGGCAGAAAAAATACTGACCTTGGCGTTGTACTATTGTTGAGTCACATTCTCTCTATTTGGTCATTTCCTGCTTAAGTAAAAAATATTGTCCAGCAAAGATTTGACCCAGTAGTACATTAAACTCTAAACAGCAGAAAGCACCAGGAAGTGCACAAAGCACTTATATTGGCTAGAAAATTCCCCAAAAAATTTTTATTATGGAAAGAGAGCACAGAAAAGTAATGCAACTTTCCTAGATAGATGTTCTTTTCATAATTCAGTGTCAATTATCCATCTTATAAGACAGAGAGCTATAAACAAGAATAAAAGCATATGTAGTTCTCTCCCCTCAGTTATTTAGCACTATTCTAAATGTTTTTGTCTGCATCTACAGTGCATCAAGTGGAAGGGTAGAGGTCTTAGAACTGGAGCCCAACATGAAAGCAAAATCTCCTAACTTGGTGTCAGGAGCTCTTTCCTTTATTCACACAGTGCCATACCCAAGATAATCTCCAGTACAGCTCAATGTAGGATAACATGAAACCACATGCAATTCAGGCCCTAGACCCTGATCATATCTAGCCCATCATTCAAAATTATCTGCTAGAGAACTACCTGTAGTATCAGATTTCTGTGTTTTCATGCAGCACTGGAAAAATATAAAAAAAGGCAAACAGTTTGGCTAATAAAGTTCCAGCAGCTGAACATTTCCTCTCAGGACTGCAACTCCGGATTGTACAAGTTGGTCTCTTATTAAACTGTTTAAAGCACACACATGCACAGGGTTATATCAATTGCGTTTCTTTGAATCAGTTACACTACAGCCAAGATCCATGATGTCAAGATACAGAGCAAACAGTCTTTCTTCTGACATGATGGCATTATTTCCTTAGGAAAGTGAAGTATTTTTAAATATGATAAAATAGCTGTATGCTGCAAGAATTGCCTCTAAAAGCAAGAAGCTCTTGTTCTTTATCATACAAAGAGCTTTGTCCTGACAGGTGTTGAATATCTGAAAAGTCCAGGTGGAGAGCCCATCTCAAATTCACACCTGAAACTGTGGTCCATATAAGTTTGGGATAGAGTCCTTCTCCCATTGAACTGATGTGGACAAAGATTTCCTTGCAGATACGCAATGAATGACTGCCACAGTTATAATTTCCATAAGGTAGGAAGTTTCTAATGGATATCCATTCCCTCCTCAGTCATCTCTCTGCCTGGCATAACAAAGAAAGAGTATTTTCTCAAGAAAAGCATTACAACTGCCATTAAGAAATATACATCATGAGTGAGTAGCCATTACTGCTACAGTATGTAAAAATGACACCTGTCTTTGGCCTGTAATACTTCAAAATAGTGTTCCTCTGCAGTATATTTTTACATGTTCACCAGGCGAACTACACAATACCAAGTAATCATCTGGTACCATCCGGCTGCTAGGAACAAAAGGAAAAGAGAGTAAGAGAGAGCTATGAGTCACATACTGTACTAACAGACTGATTTCCAAATGTGAAAAGCTGTTTCCGTTTATTGAAATCTGATTTTTTGTAATTCAAAGATAACTATTACTAGTGAGCTATCTGTATAGATACACTAGTGTCACTAACTCATATCAGCTAACAATTTTTTTAAATAAATGGTAACTTCTTTTTTAATGAATACTTTGTATGATTTTTTAATTTTTTTCCATTATTCAGCCAGCTCTGAAAATCAGTCTAAAAAGAAAGCTGTAACCCTTTACTAAGATGAATAACAATTACCTAAAGTAAGAATTTTAAGGAAATCTGCAGGCAGAGTCCTGAAGGCTAGTTCCCAGAGTCTTTCAAAAGCAAAGGTGCCTTAAAATATCAGTGCCAGCCTCTGAAGCACCTAATTTGAAGCCCTGCAACAGTGACAAACAACTAATGTCAGCGATGAAGATTCTTCCTTCTTACCCTGGATGTGGACGGTATTTGGTTGAAAAAAAGGGCTTTCTGCTGGCTGGTATGTCTTTAGAGGCAATCCTGCAGGCTGTTGAAGCTGGGGAGGTTGTGGAGTCTGTCTCTGCGACATGGGATGTGGAGCAGACATTCTCTGGTGGCTGATGTCATGAGGAGAAGGAGCTGGAGCAACAAACCTATGAGTTCAAAACCACAAAACTGTAAAATCTCCAATACATAAGAGCTAAAGATTGTTTCTACTTTATTTAGTTCACTATCATATTTAGCTATTTGCATAGATACAGACTTGATTTAAGAGTGTGCAGCCCAAATAAGAGATGATATATTTTTATATCATGACATATCATTAGATTTGACACCTGTGAAATTAACATGCTAAACTGACCCTTATTATGGGAAACTCCTTTTAATCCACTCCTTCTGTGTCTAAGTCTTAATGGGAGGAGATGCCTCATGGGGGACCTAATTTCTTAGGCATTGCCAGCTGTTCATTTTAAGGCTTTATATCAATCAATTTTATCTATCAATAAGTAGCTGTCCTTCCTGAAGGACAATCTGAAGGCAATATAATGTAAATAGAGACAAGTGTTAAATTGCTTCCAGAGTCTGACCAGATCAAAATGTTGATCTGGATTCAAATTATAAACTTGAAAGCCTCACAGACCAGAAGAACTCTTGAAAATAAACCTGGTGGTGGAGCTGCCACATAGGTTCAGTGGTATGTTTTGCACAGCTCTGTCACTACTGGCACTGCAAGGATACACACTACTTTTGAAGGTTTTAAACAAGAGTTTTATGGACTTTACTTTTTTCATGGGCTTTTGTTCTACATTTCCTTAAAACTGCATACCTCAAAGTACACTACAGATAGGTGCTATGATCATATTTGTGGACAGAAAACCACCCACTAGACCAATGGGATCTGATTAGTTAATGAAAGCTCAGCCTGGGCTCAGGAATGGCTCTGGGTCACTTTCTCATCCATGAGAGGAGAGATGGAAAGGCCAACAAAAAAGAGCCAGGATATTTCTGCAAGAGGATGAGTAGAAACTGATGCAGTATTCCTGTCACAGATCAGCCTCTCCATTGCTAAAAGCAAGCTGCAAGTCTGCTGAGAGAGTATCCATCTATCCTTTCCTGTGTGCTCAGTAGCTGCTGCTAGAAGGGATTAGAGCTTGCAGTTAACACAGTCTACCAGTATCCTAAAATGGGGATCTGGTCCTTGTTGTCCTGAGACTAAACCTCAACACACAATATGACTTTAAGATAGTAAAAAAGTATGATTTTCCTGAAGAAATGTAAGGAAGCTTTTATTACATCCTGAATACAAGAGAAGGTGCAACTGCAGTAGTGGCACTACAAACCACCTCTGGACAGGGTCATTGTATAGGTTATAACTGCATTTAAATCCAAGTCACCTGAGATCTTTTATGCTGCAGCTCAGAATCTGCATCTGCCACACACATTATCTGCTTCATTTCAACTTCATTTGAAAGCTATTTACTGGTAGTCCATAATCTGTATTTGGAGTGTACCAAGCATCAAGATGAACTGTGGATGATTTTCTACCTACTCAGTTTTCTTTGGGAATCACATTTTTATGCATATTAGATGGCGTTTGAATGGTCTTGGTGCTGAGGTGATATCAACTTCATAAGCACATCTTCAGATATGCTATATAGGTGGAGGAGATAAAGATGTCACTACTGAATTTGAGTCTTTAATGTGTCAAGTATTTAATTGTTCCAGATAACTGATGCAGAGTAGACTTAAAGACATATTAAGGAGGAAGGGAACAAAGCATGCATGTGTTTCATCACCATACTAGAGAAAAACTTTTTTAAAAAGAGAAATCAGTAGTGATATTGTGATAATAAAATCAGAGACTTAAAAAGCGCTGCAACTACCTGGTTATATGTCTCCTGAGTAATGACTGTAGTTAGTCTTTTGTATAGCACTCACAGAGAAAGACTGTTAGCTGCTGCTAGAGATGAAAAGCAATGCACAGACAGTCTTTAATACTATTAATTATTTTAAAAATCATGGTATATAATCCTGTGTTTTCAAAATTAATTTGTGAAAATTAATATCTGAAAAATGGTTTTAACCAGCACCCACCAACAGGGAAAAAATCCTTTTCAAAACTCAAAGGGAAAAGCACAGTTTAAGAGATTTCACATTTGATTTAACATTCAAAAAAACCCTCCCAATAATTACTGAACTATATTGTATAGTCAGACAGGGCTCCATTTTAATAGACATTAGTGGTCTCTATAATGATCTATATATCATTTCATGAATCCCAGGCTTACTCATATGCATGTCCATAGTTATCTACCTTTTCTTTCCTTCTGCTTAACAAAAGAAAAACTTGTATTTGTCACAGTTCAGTATGTTACTGGGGGAACTGCAAATTTAATTCTGTTCCTGAGACAATCAGGACCAGCTTGTAACCACTTGGAAATTACTATCAAGAACTGTGGCCAAGCCTAGGAGTTGATGCACTCAGGAACCAGCCATATTTGCAGAAAGTTGCCCTTCCCCGTGCTTGATGGGTACAAAATCAGAGCAGGAATATTTCTGGAGCCATTAAGAAGCCTCTTCCTTTCCAATAGTAGCTGGGAAAAGGTGTCCTCCTGGGGAATGACTAGATTTAGTAGTAAGCAAGATAGATGACAAAGTTACCAAAGCTTACCTCTTTTGATGAGATTAGTTAAAATGACACATACAAAAGCGATTTTTTAATGACCAGTACTCATTGTGGGTACATGAAAAAAAAAAGATTTTACTACATCATTTTTTTTTACTGGATCTGGCCCAATGATATCTCAGCTCTTTAGCATTAGTCACTTATATGTGCCATTTGCTCACTAACAAAAAAAATTTGCTTGTCTTAGCAGACAATCCTCTGAGGTGTCCCATGCCTGGAAAGAAGCTACTGTACCTATTTCAAAACTATATTGTTAAGGTCATTACCCAAAGACTTTCTTTGAAGCAGCCCCTCGTATGCCACATACAAAGGACTTCTTAATATCTGAAGGTTGGATGCCTCAGCTCCCTGGTTAGAACTACTCAGAGGCTTTTGCTTCTGGAAGTCTGGCTTGGAGCTAGTTGCAGAACTTATTATAGCATTACAGTGCTGCTAAACTGAACAGTTCAGCCCTAAGATCTCCTTTTCAGCCTTACACAGTCTCTAGAAATTCCTGTGAAGCCAGGATGCATCACACTTTAGGGACACATTGCTAGCTCTGGTAAAAATAATATGGAACACCCAGTCCCTGAAAAATTTTGTTCTGGTCTCACATCAGTAAACAGGTTACTTCTTGCTCAAAAGAAAGATGCATATATTGGACAATTCAATAAATAATCGAAATAATGTAAAAATAATAATTTCAAGCATTTAGCACCATCAACTTTGGGGCGCTGAGTGGCACATGTTAACTATGCCATATAAACCCATAATTTTTTATTTGAGTTTTAATGAGATTTCAGTTTTCTTGTATGCTTATGTCTTCTTATATTACAAAAATGAATGAAAAGGAAGTGAAGTACATGTTCTCTTCTTCTTAATTTGATAAATGAAGTTACTTCTTGGATCCAAACTCTCTAACTTGCATTCTGTGTACACAGAGTTTTGTACACAGAATGAATGCAGTGTAAGGTGTGTCCCATATTTCATTCACTTTCTCACATTAATAAGGCTTAATCAAGTCCACACTCCCTCTCCTACCACCTAGGAGAGAAAGACACAAATGAAACCCTCCAATTATTTCTCTATCCCATGGTACCCAGGGAGGTAAGGAAAGTGTGTATCTCCTTCCACTTCTGTCCAAAAAGTGGCACATGACTGACCCCCAGGGTCATCAAAGCACCAGGCCAGTTTGGGTTGGCTTCAGTCCAACAAGTACAGCCTTCTGCCAGGGCAAGTGCTGGTCAGCCAGTCCTAGCTCTGGAATGACCCCAGGCATGCCACAGTGTCAGGAACCACACAGTGGAATAGTTTGAAGCTGGAAGCACAGAAGAATAGTTTGGGTTGGAAGGGACCTTCAAAGGTCATCTAGTCCAACTCCAACTAGCATGCGGGGGAACAAATCCCTTACTTGCCCCCCTAAATCCTGCAGTCCTCTCAACAAAGAAACGGGGATAAACAGAGTGATTTACACCTTTCAAAGACACTATCTCCAGCACTTTCTGTATGGAAGGTTTGTTCAGTTCACATTTTCACAGCTGTTGTTACACTCAGGAAGCAGTGTAAATGACAACCTACTCGCAGGGCCCCTAGGAGAGTGTGCTGTATTAGATTCGAGATGCAGGTTCTGAATTTGTGTTTCTTTTAAGCACTGCCCATAATTTGTACTATATATTCTGAAACCAAACTAACACTGCTGTAATACTTTTTTCTTTTCTCAATTTAAATTGCCAATTGTCACACTACCTCAATGAAGACATTGGTACCTTTTTTCTTAATTCAAAGTAACTCCACATATGGGAGTTAGCCTTTTTAGAGAAACTGTATACAGTTAGCACATGAGACAGGAGTGTATCGTGCTAGCTTTTAATTGTTCTGTAGAGAACTGTATTATCTTGAGGTCTGTAATGCATTCAATGAATTGAATCAATGAAGTCACACTCTAAATGTGTCTGCTACGGTTCTACACCAGTAGAACCTCGGAAATGGGCTAATGACAAGATCACTGTCTTTCATAATGACATTTATACCTGTAATAGTAAAACACTGATCTGTCCCTGCCTGTCACCTTGTGCTCTAGCAGTTTTTGGGTACAGATGTTAGACAGGTCATGCACTGGAGAGGAAACTATACTGGGAAAGCAAAGCCTCTGTGTCAGGAAACAGAGCATGGGCAGCCTCAGAGGGTCTGCACAGAGGTAAGAGCCAGGGCAAGGGAAGAAGACCAGGACCATGTGGCTGGGAGTGGAGAAGAAGGACTGAACTAGTAGCTGAGCTCCAGTGATCACGAGGCAGCAAGTTTTATGTCTGACTGATGTACAGAAAGCTCAGCAACTTCCAGCCACTCTCAAACTGGCTGAATTCATGTGAAGTCTGAAAGAGAAAAGTACTTTCACCTGCTGTCAATTCCCTGAGCCATCATGTTCTTCCACCTTCCTGACACAAGGCAGAGTGAGTACTGCTTTCATCCAAAAAAATTATGCTCATTTACTGGTAACTGAAATCTAGTGAATGTTCTTTTCAGGTTTATAATTAGAGACTGTACTCTTCAAATTACTGGCATTTCTGTCACTCAAGAAAATTAAAGACTTTGAAATACAGTAATGAAATACAGCAATTTATCATTTACAGAACTGAAAAATAAGGATATTTACAAAATAATATTTAAGTATCCATAAACATATAGTAAGAACTCAGTATTAATGTGTGATGGTGTTATCTTCTTGACTTTTCCACTGAAAACTTATTTGCTTAGGCCTCTTCAATCTTGTGATCTGCTAGACTTGTGGTTCAATGAACTACAGATTTCCACATCTGTAATGCCATACACTACCTAGATAATTGGCAAGATTGCTGAAAATAATTTAGGGGATGTCTAAACATGAAATCAAAACACTTCCAAGCAATCTCCTTTTATACCACTGCAATATCTAAAATCATGGAAACAGCAATACCTGAGCAGCATATAATAAAATATACATAACTAGAATAAAATAAATCCTGGCTAGAAATCAAACTCTTAGACTAGTGAAGTAAAAATTGTTCATTAGCTATTTCTCTTAATAAAATACCAATTAAAAAAAAAGCCAAATTCCTGAAGGAATACTTATATTGAGAGAATATTGACAAAATATGACTTTCCTCCCACAGGTAAACAGGAACATGGGGTCTCCATTCTGTAAGGTATGGTTGGGGTCCTCTGAGATTCAGTGTCCCAGTCAGTATCACTTTCCTTGCTTGGGCCATCTGTGGCGATCCAGAGGGGACTGGAGGAAGTCTCTGAAATGGAGATGGATGGAAAGCCTCCCTGCCCAGGCTAGAATAACATTGGCCCTTTTACCTCTCCTTCCCTGATAAACCCACACCCACAGCAATTGTTAGGTGGGGGCTGCCACCAGTGACTGTGTACACCAATAATTCAGTTTCCACCCCTCCTGGAAGCTCTGAAGGCAGCCCTGCCTCAGGCTCAGTATTGGAAAAACTGGGACTGGTCTTACCTCTCTGAGACCGCAGCTGAGAGAAGAGGTATCTGGGGGGGAGGATGGAGAGGACTACCCTGTGCATTATGTCCTGGGGAGTGGTGGCTGCTGGGGTGGGACAAGGACACTGCCCCAGTTGCAGTAGCACTTTGACTGGTCTGTGTGCTGGAGATCAGGGCTGCTGAAAGTAAAAGGAGAGAAATAACCCTCATCATGCAGGCAATAATACTGAAAACTGAGCAAACACCAACAGGTAAGAGCTCCTCTAAAGCTGCAGTGACAATTCTTAGCAAATAACTGTTTTTTCTCAAGTGTTGTTTTCTGTTCAAAGGGAAGAAGAAAAACCCACATGAAAATAATATTCTTTGCTGCTTCCAAATGACACTTTCATACACCCAGGCATGACATAATTGTGTTCCCAGTCTTGGAATTTTTGTCTAACTAAGGTTGCAAGTCTTCTATACATTCCTGTTTCAGAAGAGGTGTCAAATACTTCCTAAAATATGTATTTTTAGAGCTGGTAAGCAGAAAGTATGGTTTCCGAAAATGTGAAATACTTTCTACATTTTCCTCTCCGCTGTAAAAATCCTAAATTTCTTGAAGAGTAATATCCCTATTATCGCCCCAGACTCCTCAGTATTACATTCAAAAATTTTAAAGCATCATTAACAGTTTAATAATTTTCTATAAGGTTTTCTTGTACACTTTCTAATAAAGAAAGTTTCTAGATGACTAAACAAAAAGCAATACAGGACTTTGTTCAAATGTCCTAGGTAGTTGATCCCTCATTCTTTAACCTTGTTTTCAGAAGTCGTCTAAATCAGAAAAATTTAAATCTCTGTATACCTGAAAACCCAGTTACCCAACTATTTTTACTGACATCTGTGTCAGGTAGCTTATGCTGAATGGCAGCCAAATACATGATCTTGAATATTTTATGAACCCAGAGAACGAATTAGATATGCTGTCTACAAGATAAAAATGATCTCTCACTGTTTGGCTGTCATATCTTCCAGTCTCTTGCAAAAAAAGTATTGTTTAGGCTTAGTTTACAGAATAAAATTCTACTATAAAAATTACATTATGTTAGTGAATATATTGGAGCTAATGATTCAAATTTTTTGACAAAATCCTAGAATTTAAACCAGTTCCCCAGAGGGTGCTGTCACTGGTAAAACATCTTTCTAGGCTAAAATATCTGCATACATGCTGCAATCCTAGCCGAAGAAACACTACTTTAGGAGTAACCCCACCACACACCAATCTTCAAGAAAATTATTTTGTAGGTCACAATTTTGAATTTTGCTACATAAGATCAAAAGGGCAAACAGTTCACCTCATCGTCCAAGTCCTCAGCCTATTTCTGGAAAGACTCTTTTAGTCCTTACAAGCCTGCCTATGTGACACACTGGTTATTCACCAGGCTAAGGCAGAGTTAAGGAAAGGCTCAGGAGCCTGAGCTGTAGCCTTATTAATGAGCAGTCCCAGACACATTTCAGCTGGTAGAAATGACAGATGGCGTAAGATGACACACAGGAAACCACTTTGTGAGTAAAAACATCTGCAGAGGTAATGCCAAAGTTTAGGTCATGAGAAGGTGTCATGAGCCACATTTGCAGGCAAAGCTGGTGGAGTGGAGGCTGGCCTCGGCACTAGCCTCTACTGCTTGCTACTTTGTATACGGACCAGACCATCCTAATCACAACTTAAGTGACAACAGACATCTGACAGTAGAACCTTAACTGAGGTACAGAGGATGCAGATCCCACAGGAGATGAGACACGACCTCAGACAACAGAGTAACTCACAAAGATCGAGCTGAGGAAGAACCTCCCCACTAAGACAGGAGAATGTGTTTTTGCCACTTTTTGCTCATGCACCCCAAAAGCCACTTTCTTCATGCCCATCTCTCACAGGAACATCAAGAGAAATGCAGAGGGGAAAACAGAGGAATGAACTTTCAAATTTCTTATTTTATGTTTACATGCAGCACAGAAGAAAATACTGAAAAACCAAATATGCATTCTGACAGAGTAAGCAGAGAGAATATTTAACATATCAGTACACCACAAAGGAAGATCCTTGACTGTCAAAATAAAAACAGAGACTACTTAAATTATTCCTTGCAAAAATAGGGTAACTTGCATTTTACCATGAGAAAAACTTATTAAACTCTGTAAGAATATACAATGACTTAGTTTCACAGTACTGTAATATTTAGATCACATCCCAGCCTTTTAAGGCATTTTCTTCTCTTTCAGTGGATTGCAGTTTCTAAAGTTTTGTCTCATCATGATGAAAGGAACTATAAATGGTGCAAAAGGCTGTGTTGCTTACACATTAATCCATCAGTAAATGTTCTCTTCTTTACAATGTGAATCCAAACATTGCATGGATTTTTGGAGAACCTCTAAGATGTCTCAAAATGGAAATTATAAAACTCAGAAGTAAAACTGATGAATAAAACAAGTCTGAGGGGAAATAAGCTATCCTCCTTAAACTCAGATAGATAATAATATTAACACTATTCAACTCCTTGTAATGGGTGTATGGTCCTATCTGGGACTACAGGACATTCACCAGGAGTTCTAGATACCTACACAATACTTAAATTCACCCCAAAGGGTGACAGCAGAGATCCTCTTTGTTGTTGGTAACCCTACATCACTGCCTCTTTTGCATCCATTCCCTATGCATCAAACACAATTTTGTTTTTCATGGCTAGGACCATTCACGTGTCTGTTCTTCCTTTTAATTCCTTTTGATTTTTCTTACGGTAATGAACTGTGGCTACTTTCCAAGGCTGTCAGCCTCACCAAACAGACTGCCTTTTTTCTCAGACATCTCTTAGGGAGCTCACTCACTGGGACAATTGTTTTAATAAAATTCTTTTATTTTTCCTGTACATGTCCTCTATCCTTTACCTGCCTGTTGTACATACCTACTTTCCTAACATTATCTTAGATACATACTCCATAGGGATCAGATGTTTTCTTATTATGTGCACAGAGCACCTAGCTTAGTACTATTACAGTGGGGGAAAAAAAAACACAAAGAAAACTATTACTTAAGCAAAGCACAACTTACATCATAGGCCTAAAAGTAGTTAGGTCAAAGTTTCACAATACAGCATAAGACATTATTTAAAAAACAGAATTCAAGTAAGTTCTGTAACTTTACAGATGCAGCTTTTAAATTCCAACTTGCAAAGAAAGTCATGCACTTGCCAAGCTTAAGTAATATCATTTGCTTGCTCTTGAGCAGAGCTGAGTATGACATTCAGTAACTATTCATATATGAATTACACATTCTGGTTTATGCTTAAATATGAAATGGTCAAGTTTTAAACAAACAGCACAGTAAAAGTATTTTTTTGTATTGCATTACTCATGATTCTTTCAGCTTTATGGATTTTAGATTGCTCTATAAACAGTAAGTTCATATGATTACACAGTAGAAAAAACTATCATCCATATGTTCTTATTATGAATTAATTGCTCACATCTTCATTCTGTGAACTGAATAAGCCCAGAAGCCTATGTAAAAACCCAGATGCTATCACTTTATTTAGCCTTACAAGAGTCTATATGCTTGCATTAGATCTTTAAATACAATCTTGTGTTAGTTTTAAGCAAAGGATCTGTCACGCTATATCACTGTATTAGTAAGATTATACCTTAGTAAGTTCAGATTTCTTTTATTAAGACTACAAGATAAGAAAAAATATTTATGGAGAGTTAACTCTAAGTAATAGATACATAATCAAAAATATTATTGTTGTATTTCATTTAAATGTAGCTGTGTTTGTACATTCTGTACTTCAAGAGTACTGAAACTGTACAGTTGTCACTGCAGGCATTGTACTATGTAAGTAAAAAGGGACTTGCTTCCAAATGTCTACTTTTGACATTTCTTACATATTTCTAATAGTTTGCTTTCAAACATTTATTCTGTAGACTTCTTCAGAAAGGAAAAGAAACCTCATACCTTTGCCTTAAATGTGCATCAGTGATAAGCAAAGTCACCTTCAAGTCAGAAAAGTTTGATTTCACATCACTGGAAGAATGGAAATCTGTTCCTGTTTCCACTTGAAAAGTAGCACAGACACATTTCAGATAATATGCTGTCTCAAACAGTATCCAGTAAAATTTACATATCTTATTTTTCAGAAGTCTCAAAGTTTTTTGTTATATTTTGTTATATACCAAAAAAAATTGTTTTCAGAGAATTTTGAAGGGTAGCTTCTGTAAGGCAGGACACTTAAGCTTTTCTGTATTTTACTTTCCTCTCCTTGGGTCATGAATAATTTTCATGTTGCCATTTCAATTAAATAATTCCCTGCCTGGTGGAATTATCTCATTTATTCACAGAGTATATTATTATGTAGCAGCCCTGATGAGTAGTTAATGAAACAACTCATTTCAACTGGATTGGGTGGTTGTCAAAATGGAGAGACATGTATTCACCTATACCTGACATTATACCTACCCTCAGTTAACTGATGTGAAACAACACAAGTGAATAAAACTACAAGAAATTTCCAATTTAAAGATAGCTGTGAACACAAGTAAGGGAAAGCAGATTATTACTTGCACAGAAATTCATGTTGATAAGAATACGTTGATTAATACTATAAAAATTGCCACACAATAGGAAGCAGTGCCAAGTAAGAAACGAGCAAAATAAATTATTATATCAAACAATGTCCACAGTTAGTAGTGCTGTAAACACCAAATACATAAGACAAGGCAGGAATGAGACTACAAAATGTAATGCCACAGTCTCAGAAGCTGTCTGTGGGACATCACGACTGCAGACAACTGCCAGCTAAGGGCTGGCTGGAGGCAGCAGCTTAATTCAGCTTGTAACGAGCAGCATTTTGTTCAAGCCACTGTCAGCCTAGATTTGGACTGACCAAGCTGCTGGAGTCTGACATTTAATCAGGGTCTGGAAGCTAGACTGGTAAAAGAAATGAGTGCTCAACAGGTTGCTGTGGAAATCTGTGAGAATGTCCTCAGTTTCCGAAAATCTGGTCTCAGCTCATGTGACACAATGTCCCATCCCACCTTCTATTCTGTCTAGGGACTTGAAAGGAAAAGCTGAGTCTTTATTATCTCTCAGTTTTGCACATTACCATGGGAAATGCCATTAAACAATTTTCTTAAATCTCAATATTCCTCACTACCCAGCTCTCTCTCAACATACAACATGAAATAAGCAACTATAACCAACAACATGTTCCCACAAATTTCCTGGCCAAAATCACATCTCTCAAATCTGAAATTTCTTTACGCTTTCAAGTAACAGATGCCACACTCACCTCCTACTCAGAATAAGGCATTTAAAAGTTAACAATGTATACCAACTATTTAATAAATTAGAATACGGTCACAGCTTTCAATTTCCTAATTTTTGTCATATAAACCTGCATCATCACCAGCTGTTGTGTAACTCACAACAGCCTTGACAAAAACATGTAATAGAATTGATAGCTTTACAAGGCTCTCAATAAAATAAAACTACTTACTGAAGTGGCCACTTCATAAAATGGAATTTTCATCACTGTACATAACATTAATGCAGCCAATTCATTCACTTCCTACATCTGGTTCTCACTTTCAAGTTGGACTGATATAAGATGTAAGGCATTCTATCTGAAAGTTAAAAACAGATGCCTTCACGACTACTAAAATACTCCATTAAAAATGTTAACACCCTGTCCATGCTGTCTTGAGCTTTGAGATGTATTATTACTCATAGCTTGCCAACTGTTTCAAATTTAGTTGAAATGTGAACAACAATTGTACATTCAGGCAGGTGTGACAAAGTTAGTTATTTTAATATGAAAATCTCAGATATTTAATTGAAACAATAAAATAGGATTACATTTATAGTATAAATGTGTTTATTGGCATATTTATAGCTCATAACATAGCATTTAAGTTCATTAATGTAGATCAATTGGAAAACTGATATGTGATCCATGAATAAGGAAGAGGGAAAATATTGTAATTTTAAATGAAGTTTAACATGTTCTTGATTTCTACAAGAATGAGAGCAGTAAATTGATAGCAGAAGTCAAATATTGCTCTGCATTGCAGTAGGTCTTTTCATGGATATGATTTGGCCTGCCTCCCTCCAAAAATCATATAAAAATATGTTCAAAATCTATATTTTTATATTACTTTGCAGATTCTATTCTTCTTATGAGATAGATATGGATTTCAGGGTACATCTACTCTGCAAAATCATCCTTAATCTTAAGTGAGCAATTATATAGCAGCTTTTCATATGTCTTTTTTTATACCTGGGTAAATATTATGAACAGGCCCTGTGGAGTATCCCATGGAATTATCTGCAGTGTCATGTGGTGATAGGGCTGGCTGGAGGGTCTGGATTGCAAGGCAGTCATTCAGGATGTCCTGGCCAAGCTCTGAGCTTGATTGTAACTGAAACACAAGAGATAAAAAACATAGAAATTATAACATGGGCAAAAACCAGGAAATAATCATAAAAATCCTCAAGACAGTGAAAAATTATAATGAAGAAATGTTGAGAGATTAGAGAAAGAACCACAATCAGAAATCTTCTCTTTTAAAACCTGATTAACATCATCCTTTATTATAGCAGGCATTTTTTGAATCTGAGGAAGAAAGTACTTCCAGATGCTTAACAAAACTGTACTCGGGACAAGGGCTATTTGTACAATTAGGAACTGGGACAAATGGACTTCAGTGCATTCTCTTGTCATGCACTGCAAAAGAGAAGAGTGTCCTGGTTAATCAGTAAAGGAGATTTATCACGTGTCTGACATTCCTTGTATCAGTGGAGGGTATTATAATAAGTAAAAATATTTACATGCTCATTTAATGCCCTGGCTCACTGCAGGACCAGAAAAGCAAAGGTGCTCATGGCACTGGAAACGAGGGACTGGGAATGAGCAGCCAGGAGGACTAACATTCAAGACAGTCAGGATGGAAGTGGGACCACTTTATATGGACCAAAGTTGTCTGAGACACCACTGTTAAACTGACTAGGACTATATTTGTTTTACATTACAGCTGAACTGATCTGACCATGAGTGCTGTGTCACTGCCATTAATCCCAGCTGCATGCATGGCCACTTGCCTGGTACCTGTTCCATCAACAGCAAGTCTGTTTATCTGGCTGATCCAGCAGAAAATTCACTCTGAAAACAATTAATAAACAAGTTCATAAGAAGAATTTTCCTTTGGATGAAACTGGATGAACAGTCTCACTCCAAGGCTGCAATAAAATACAGTAAAAAAAAAAAAATTCACCAAACTAAAATAAGAAAAGGGAGGAAGCCTGCTGCAGCACCCTAACTCAAGGCTGTCTTAGCTGTAATGCCAAACTGTATGTTGAGGTTTATGGTAGATGGATGCTGCTCCAGGCTGGTGGCACTGATGCAGGTCCCAGCTTCATTCCTGATGTTACTGTTTTATATAACAAAAATTTGCCTGTTCATTACAGCCATCATGGTTCATAGATTGGCATATTCACTTAAAAGCATCAATAAAGGAGGGTGTGAGCTTATATGCATGTTGGACACTGCAGTGGCTGAGATGCCCATAAATATCCTGTCCTGTCCCCCATGCTGGTGCAGAGAAAGTTCATGCAGCATGACAGACAGAAACCTGACCTGGTGCAGTAAGATTTGCTGCACTTGTGTATCAGAGTCCCAAGAAGCAAATGTCACAGATGCAATTGAGGTTTCTCCTCTCTTGTTTGTTGCCATGAGAGATGAGCAGGTAACAGTAACTAGAACATAACCTAGAACCTCTAAAAAACTCCTAGGGGGAGCAAGAGGAACAAGAAGAGAAATTTCTGTCCATCCTATACTCAGAAATTAATCACAGAATGGTTTGAGTTGGAAGGTACCTTAAAGATCATCTCATTCCACCCTCTCTGCCACAGGCAGGGACACCTTCCACTAGACCAGGTTGCTTGGAGTCCCATCCAACCTGGCCTTGAACACTTCCAGGGATGGGACAAATTAAGACATGGGATTATTCTGAATGCAACTGTAAAAAGACCCATTACTGTGCCACAAGATGCTGATAAACATTGAAATTACTTTTGATAATATGCACTAGTATAAAGCTGTTGCAACAGAGCAGAGAGTTGGTCTTACCCATCATAAGCACCTGACACAAGGTAACTGTAGGTAAGAGATATTACATGGCCTGTGATACCTATGCTCAGACTATGCATGTTGTAGATTATTCCTTCTCCTAAAAATTTAGTGAGTCATTATTAAGCCCCAAGGTACACTACCTTTGTGAGGTATATCTGTGTTCTAGAATTGTATTGAGGAGAGCAGGGCAGGGAAGAGGGAGAAAAGGAGAAATACCCTGAAAAAAGCTTTTTCTTTATTATCCATATTTACAAACTGCTATAAGTACAAATGGTTCTTCCGGTGCAGCACGTATCATTGTCTGGTATCACACACTAATTATGCTGGGTTTGCTGCTGTCACTAGTTACATGGCTTTTTCATAAAATTAAGTGGTTGTGAAATTAAATGTCAAATACCTCCTCATTCGAATTCTTATCAGTTACATTATTAATAAACATTATGTGACTTTAAATGTCCACGGAATTTAATATGAAAATAATGATGAAAAAATTTGACTTCTATAGAAATCACATAGAATACAAATTCACAGAAGTTGCCTGCATAAAGTTGTTTGTGCACATTTTTGGCAAGAAACGGATCGATTTTCTGTATCAGATAGCACTCATATGGATAAAACAGTGTGTAAAACAGGGAGAGTTAACTATTTACATATTAGTTACAAGAATTAAGTAATTCTGGTAAAATAAAACAGGCAAACACCTATTTTACAAATTTTTCTATTTTGCACTGTTCAGGAGTTTTGTTTTGCATTCACAAATCCTTTGATATTTAGAACAAATCTATCACGAGAATCTGATAGATTTTCTGGCTTGACAAATTTTCTGGCTTGACCAATAGTGAATGCTTATAAAGACAAAGAAATGCCAGGATTATCAACAGAAAAACAAAAACAAAGAAAGAAACACTATGAGACAGCTGTGACCTGATTTCTGAAGACAGTTCTTATTTCATGTATTGGCTATTGTTGATTGATATTTACAACCATAAGGGCTAGAAATACGTATTTTATAATCTTACATACGCACACAGAATGTAAGTGTATGTATTACAATATCTAAGGTTATGCTATTTTCTATGGCACCATGCCTGCCAGAGTCAGATGGGCTTCATCTATCTTGCAAGGACTCTAGTCTGTAAGTTGTCGGGGCTGACCAGGAGGGCTCTAAACTAGGTTTGAAGGGAGAAGGAGTTGAAACCAGTCTCTCCAGAGATGAGCCTGAGGGTGGAAAGCCAGAGGTAGAAGTGAAATGAGCAGCATAGCTGAAGTGCATGTACACCAATGCACGCAGTATGGGTAACAAACAAGAGGAGCTGGAAGCCATCGTGCAGCAGGAAAGCTACGATGTAGTTCCCCATCATGGAAACGCGGTGGGATGACTCGCATGACTGGAGTGCTGCCATGGGTGGCTACAAGCTCTTCAGAAGGGACAGGCAAGGTGCAAGAGGTGGAGGGGTGGTTCTATGTGTTAGAACTGCTGGAAGGCAGGAGGGCTCTGCAGAGGGACCTGGACAAGCTGGAGAGATGATCTGATTCCAACAGGATGAGGTTCAACAAGGCCAAGTGCCGGGTCCTGCCCTTTGGCCACAACAACCCCAGGCAGTGCTACAGGCTGGGGACAGAGTGGCTGGAGAGCAGCCAGGCAGAGAGGGACCTGGGAGTTTGGATTGACAGGAAGCTGAACATGAGCCAGCAGTGTGCCCAGGTGGCCTAGAAGGCCAATAGGCAATCCTGGCCTTGGATCAGGAATAGAACAGTGTGGCCAACAGGACCAGGGAAGTGATTCTTGCCCTGTACTCAGCGCTGGTGAGGCCACACCTGGAGTGCTGTGTCCAGTTCTGGGCCCCTCAGTTCAGGAAGGATATTGAGGTGCTGGAGCAGGTCCAGAGAAGAGCAACAAGGCTGGTGAAGGGACTGGAGCACAAGTCCTATGAGGAGAGGCTGAGGGAACTGTGGTTGTTTAGCCTGGAGAAGAGGAGGCTCAAGGGAGACCTCATCACTCTCTACAGCTACCTGAAAGGAGGTTGTAGCCAGGTGGGCGTTGGTCTCTTCTCCCAGGCAACAGCAGTAGGACAAGAGGGCACAGTCTTAAGCTCTGCCAGGGGAAGTTTAGGTTGGATTTTAGGAAGAAATGTTTTTCAGAGATGGTAATCAGACATTGGAATGGGCTGCCCAGGGAGGTGGTGGATTCACTGTCCCTGGAGGTTTTTAAGACGAGACTGGATGTGGCACTTAATGCACCAGTAACCACAGAGGTTGGATCAAGGGTTGGACTTGATGATCTCGCAGGTCTTTTCCAACTCGGTTCATTCTATGATTCGATGATTCTATATGTATATAATATGTAACTTTAGAATGACAAGATATGTCTTTAACTTACATATGATGAAATCTCCTGAGCAAGAGGTGGGTATTACATTGACTTGTGCAACTGCAGATGCATACTGCTAATTCAAATTGCCACTAAAAATACTACCATGGACCTTCTATAAGCCCTATCCAGGTAAGAGATGCTGAGAATAACTTTACTGTCCCCTACTGCAGGGTATGCATATGAGTAGCTCTTTAAGAGTAATTACTGTCATACCACAGGAAAAAGCAGAAAGCAAGAGAAGAGCCATTCTCTACTGCTTAGCAGGGCAGGCCCAGAAACGGGTAAGCTTCCTTTAGCAGAACCAGCCATTAAATTACAGCTGCTTCCCAAACTAGGCACAACTTCTGGAAAACTCCATTTCCCACCATTACTGTTTTGTCTTGATAGAGACAGTAACCATGCTTTGGTTGCTGCGTCCTGTTTCCTCTGCCATTTAAAGCTCATCCTCTGCCCAATGTTCTTCCAGATTTTTTCCTCTGTACTATTAACAGGGGTGACATAAGCTGTGGCCTTTTTGGAACAAAACAGATGGCAAAACACAGACTCTGCTTCAAATAGATCTGATCAAGGCATTTATTTTTTCTGTAAAGACATTCAGGGTAAAAAAACCACTCTATCTCAGTCAAATATTTTTTCATATTTCACAAAAGAGTTTTAACTGAAGCCAATGTTTTGCATTTTCACAAATGCAGGGAAATCAGCGCCATGTGAAGAAACACTGAATAGACAATGAAGAGATAGATGATTTTACAAATAAGCAAAACCCACCAACCATTCACTGCAATCACAGAATTTTATGTTCCATTAAAAAAGTTATGAAGGAGAAATAATAATCAACCAGATCTAACTGATGCAGTCTGTTTCTTGCTTTAACACCAATGCATTTCTTTTCCAAACTAGACTGCAGACTTATCATC